GTATTAGTTTTTATTTTCCTTTTTAAAAATCTTTAATAAAATTATATATAAAAAAGATAACGTTCATGAAAAAACAGGATCTCTTTAATTAGACCAAGTTTTTAAACATTTTAAACAGTGTCATATTTTATTTTTATCTATGTTTTTATTTAAGACATTTACTTATTCCCTCTACCAAAACGTTTCGGCAGCGAGTGGATACAGGGAGAGTTTTCCAGTGATAAAGGAATAAAGCTTTTGTACATCCTTGGCCCTCACTCAACTTGTGATCCATAAAGCCAAACACAGCTCATCAAAAGAATCTTGAAGAATCTCCATGTTGGAGATCACAAAAAGAGCAGCATTGCCAAGGGGGTGAAAAGGATGCAAGCTTACTCAAATTTTATCACTTTAAATTGTAGCTAGTCTCCTTTTCTTTTCCTCCGTGTGCACAGAGTACATGACTTACTACTCTTTCAATCTGGCTGATTAGCACAAAGCAGGATATTAGATGAGAACAGGTTTCCACAATCTGACAGCCCCCCTATCCATTGGAAGTCCCAGTCTAACTCAGCTGTAGGGCACAAAGTTGGAGAAGGCTGGTCTATGGAAGTCTACTGAAAATGCAGTAGAATACAACGTGCATTAGAATGAAGAGAAGTTTGAATACGTTGATTAACATCTATTTCCCCCTGGACTGATCCAAATCTGAGATAATGAAGGACAGATGCAAAGAATGGAACCTAGTCTTCCTTACTGTATTTCTCACCATCCCATCATATTATATTTCTTGGTTTCACACATGTTCTCCCATTGCTCCCACTCAGTGCTCTTTTTTCTTAGTTTCATTTTTAGATGCATACCCTCCTATCTGATTAGGCAAATTTGATACTCTTTAAGAATTCTAAACTGAAGCTGTCGGTCTCATGGTGAAGGATCCAAAATCATTCAGAAAGACTGCTTCAATCATTTAGCTTTCTTCAACCCTACCTTTACCCCACACTTACCTGTTGTTGTTCTGCACAGGTATTTTGTCTCCATCAGGAACAAGATTTTTCTGCTCTGCTACTCCATAACTTTCTCTGCATATCTGTATTTCCAACACCAAAAAATGATGGCAAAGCTGCTTTATTCTTTTATCTCATGAGCAACAATAATAGTATTATCATTTTCCATGAAGGACACGTTTTAAACAAAAATTTTGCCTTTCCAACATAATGACTAAATGTTAGCATAGTCTTGGTTTATTGCGAACAATGGTTTGTAATCTGACATGCTAGGAGGACATGGAAGTGACAATCTTTCCAACATCTAAGTATACGATCCATTCAAAAATCTGTAGGACTGATTTTTGAAATCTGGAGATTCTCCAGTTGCATTAGAAGTCCCACAATTCTCAGCTATTAATTCAATCTTGAATTTTCAGGGTTGTGGCCCCAACACTTTTAGAGAATGCTAGATTAAGAAAGGTGGAGATAGACAAGATTTGCATTCTGAGATACTTTTAGATTAACAGATTAATAATCCAGGCTCTGTGTGTGTGTGTGTGTGTGTGTGTGTGTGTGTAACAACTCAATGTGAGGAAGCAGAATTGGGGCTTTCAAAAGATGCACCCATGAACATGGTTGTCCAACTCAAAGAACTGGAAGAGGCTGTCCAACCCATGAAGTCCAACCCTCTGCTTAGCGCAAAATCCAGATTAAAGTCTCCCAGAACCTGCTTGAAACTTTCCAGTGAGAGGACCTTACCATTCTCTGGATATTTAGTCAAACATCTCTTACAGTTTTTTAAATGAAAAAACAGACATTTTTTCTCCAATTTTCTATCAGAACCTGCCTTTACACTCCAGCATGATAGAGAACAGATCAACCCCATGTATTTTCAAACTTACAGTTGAAAGGATCAAAAAGAAGAGTTTTGGGAGGTATGGGGTTGAGAAAAAAAGACTACACTAGGAAGGCGGATGCAAGTTTTCAGTGACATCTCCTCTTTGCCCAGTGTCTTTTTTGCTATACCCCAAATGCCCAAATACTCCAAATGCCCACAGACCTCAGCCTTAAGAGAGGCCATCTGCTCTTGATGCATCTCCTGGAAGTCTAAGGACAACATGCAGAAATTTCCAACCAATGTGGGAAGAAGTTTGGAACTTCATTTGAAAAAAAAAAATCTCAAATAAGAAGATGTAATAACTTTATTTCTAAAGAATTCAAAACATGTTATGTAATGTCTTTCAATGACCAATATTGGTCTGAAGCACTGGCATTCCTTAAGCTTTCATGAACACAAAAAGTAGATATGAGTTGGTCTTACTGTAAAGTAGAGGCAGAATGTTTCTTCAATATCCTCCCCAGGATAATCTAAAAGCTCTTGGAGGCTCCTGAACAGAAGGATAAAAATAGCAGGAAGAAAAGGTAGCAATGGGAATATATATATATACATATATATATATATATATATAAAAAACCATTTAAGGTGAGTGGTAAATTAATGGTTGCAGCTAGATAGTGTAGTAGTTAGAGTGCCACCCATTGGTGCGGGAGACTGGGTTTCGAATCCTGGCTGGTACCTACCTTACCAGTAGGGATTCTTGGGCAAAGTCCCCCTAATGCTTCACTTGCCTACCTTGAATATAAGAATGGCATGAACTAAGAGAGTCATGCTGGCTTGGATGTTCCCCGGGTTAACAAGGTCCATGCCAGAAGTTGGGGAACCAGGACAATCTGACAATAAGTGAGCTACTGGAACAAACCATACATGGATGAGACAAGAGAACCTGGAACTGATGGAATGCTACT